GTTAATGTTGGACTTGAGGGCTTGGGCAGCATTGGGTTGGGGTGTTTTCGTGATGCACATTTTCTTTGCATAAAACTCTCTCTTATACATGAGTCGCCGTGGATTTGTTTCTCCAAAGTACCTAGACTAATACAAATGGGATACCATCCTTTCTCTTGTGGTGCCTTCTGGTGTTCTGTGAAAGCTGAGTATACTGCAGTGTAAGTGGGGGGGGGGGCACCATTGTGTGAGCACAGATTCCTTTGAGGTATGAGGTTTGTAAATGCATGAGAGATTGTGTAAATGTGATACTTGGTATTGTTTTTGGAGGGGGCATGTGATAGTTAGATTTTGTGTCAACTTGGATTGGTCAGGATTCTCAGTAGCTTGGCAGTTGAAGCCTCTCCTATCATAATGTAATCAATGCCATGATGGCATCTGCTTTGAGCAGACATGCAGTTGTGTTTAGGATGAAGTTCAATACTTTGCTCATACCATAGCCCTGATATTTCCCCAAGGGTGTGGATTACTTGACATGTATATAGATACTGTGGAGACCTCATCACTTTTTCTGCTGGGTCTGTGTCCTACATCTGGTTTGCCATGTTCTGGTTCTTTGGACTTGAGCCAACAGCCTGCCTGATCCTGAGAGCTTTCAGTGACCTGCCATCTAACCTGCCGGCCTCGGATGCATTCAGTTCTGCAGCTGCAAGCCTGACCTGCTGACATCTGTCAGCCTGTGGTCTTCCTGGTTCATTTTCCTGTTTACTGATTTGTCAGGCCCCATAGCTATGTAAGTCAGGAGAACCCTCCAGCTTAACACCTGACCCATGGACTTGAAATGGATTGGACTTACCTGCTTCTACTATTGTGTGAGCTATTTTCTTGATATAAATTCATTTCTTTATATATATAAAAGCATTATACATAAAGAAATGTGTGTGTATGAGATTCACTGTTTTTGCTTCTCTAGAGAACCCAGTCTAACACAAGGCAATTGTGATTAAAGAGTTCTCACCCTTTGTCTAGGTTCAATTCTTGCCTATCCATCTGTCACTAAAACCTCATGTGTTGTTCTGATACTGAACAGGTTTCAGTGGTACTTCTGGACTAAGATGGATTAGGAAGAAAGTTCTAGAGATCTACTTCCAAAATTTCACCAATGAAAAAAAATCTGTGAATTGAAATGGCCCAATCTCTATTGTATGTGATGCCTGGGGCTAAGTTGAAAGCAGCTAATAAGAACAAGTATTTTGCAAATGATTTCCCAAGCCAGAAAAAAAACCACTCTCAAAGATAAGTATAGCAAATCACTCTCTTTGGATATCACAGAGCAAATGGGCTTGAAGGGAACCCTTGAAGGGAAGCCTAAGTCCTTGACAGACACTGTAAATAGATATTGCAGACTCTGCCATCTGTGTTCTGTACAGATGCAGAAGGCAGTGCCTAAAGTGTTGCAGAAGGCAGTGCCTATTATGTCAGATAGAATTTACATTAATGGAAGGGAGGTGAGGGAAAATTCTGGAGAGAGTGAGACAGTGGGGCCTCTTTCTTGGGTCTACAGAGTTTGTTATAGGATGATGTGTTTTCGTCCTGGGATCAGGGTCACCTCCCTCCCCCAGTTGTTCAGTGCATGTGATTGCCTTCCTGGTCCTTCCATAGCCCACTGGCCCTCTAACTCCAAATGAAGGTGTATGTAGGGAACCAGAGCCTAGGGCCTCCTCTGCCTGTAGAAGTACAGCTTACTCCCAGACTCCAAACCTCTATACCAACTCTAAAGTCGAGTGACCTAGATGCAAAATTAAAATGTGGAAAAGGGAAACTCTATAAGCAGGCAGATTTGGGTTCCATTTGAGAAAATAATTTCTGATAATTGAAACTGGCCCCGAGCTAGAGACTGACTGTCCAAGGAAGTAACCTTCAGGTTAGATCACAATTCTCAGCCTTGGCACGACAGACATTTGGGCTGGTTCATTTTGTATTGTGGGGCCTGTTTTATGCATTATACGTTGTTGAGCAATATCTCTGGCCTGAGGGGTCAGCACCACACTGCCCTACCCACTAGATGCCAGTAGCACCCAGTTTCCAAATTATGGCAGCCTCTAGAGCAGCGGTTCTCAACCTTCCTAACGCTGCAACCCTTTCATACAGTTCCTCATGTTGTGGTGAACCCCCCCCAACCTTAAAATTATTTTCGTTGCTACTTCTTAACTGCAATTTTGCTACTGTTATGAATTGGGCGACCCCTGTGAGATGGTTGTTCGACCCCCTGGAAGGGGAACTGCTGCTCTAGACATAGTGGTTCAAGGTAGCCTGCATGAAAGCTTGCCATTCCGATCCCCTCTTTTGCTCTCTGCATGTGCTTCAAACCTAGCAGATTTCTAGGCTGGCCCAGAGTTCTTGTGCCTACACCCATACACCAATCTGATTCACACTTACTTGCTAGCCAGCACCCACCCCCCTAGCAAATTGTAATATATGTGAGGTTAGGTACATTTGCTTACATTTTTTTGAATTAGCATTTTATTTTAGAATTTAAACATTTACAGCATAGTGGTAGAAGTTGTCAGAGTTTCCATATACCCCTCATCTAGTTTTTTACACTGTGTCTCACACCCCGTGGCCTGCATGTCACAGCT